GCTTCATGCTGTGGTGCGTCGCACATGCTCTGTGATTGATTGTTGTGCCTCCCTGGCACACATCTTTCACGCTCGTATGTCGTGCGTGGATTCTGCAAATGCGGGCCTGCATTATGAGTTCAAAGATAAAGATTCTATGATCCTTATCGACTTATCGGCTCCTAGAAGAGTGCTCCACATTCTTTGGAAAACCCAAAACCACAGACAAAAACCCTCAATATCGCCAAAAACCCCTTTGAATGGGCAGCAGCCAAAGACCTAAACCCTAAACCTTTAACCTTAAACCCTAAACCCGTAGCCTTAAACCCTAAACCCAGGAAGAGGCCCTGCTAAGGCCACGATGTTGGGAACCCGAAGCCCTAAGCTACGTGGCGAGGTCAGAGCTCTGGCTTGCTTGCACCTCCTCCTAGCTGATAGGGGTTGGGGGAGTTTAGGGTTTAGGGATTTAGGGTTTAGGGTTTAGGGGTTTAGGGTTTAGAGTTTAGGATTTAGGGTTTAGGTTGTACTGGGTTTTGGTTTAGGGTTTCAGGTTTAGGGTTTAGCCTCTCTGCCAGGGTTGGTAGCCACAAAAACCTGGACTTCCCAAAGGATCTAGCAGATGGATTCCCCAGGCAATCCACCAGTTGCCCTGATGGGTGTCCCAAAAGAAGTTGGAGAACCTTTCGTCCTCAAGCATCAACCGCGACGCCCTAAAACCCTATAAGCTTAACCCCCAAGCCCTTAAACCCTAAACCCGAACCCTAAAAGCCTACACCCTAAACCCTAGACACTAAATTAGGCCTTAAACCCTAGACCCGAAAGCCTTAAACCCTAGAACCTAGACCCTACACCCTAAAATTCTAGACCCTAAACCCTAAAACCCTAGACCTAAACCCTGAAGCCCTAGACCCCAAAACCTTAAACCCTGAGCCACCGGGGCCAGGATCTTATATTGCGTGATTGCCACCTACACGTACAGCTTCGGCCGCCTGGCATCTTTTTAATCTTTGGAAAGTCTTCTGGCTGTTGAAGAGCAACCCACGCAGCACAATACCCCTCAATCAAGGAGTATCCCTTAAGTGGACCCCCCACCCTGTCATAATGGGAAAATAAGAGGACATTAATACAATCACCATACCATTTTCCTTATAGTCACTATGGGTGAGGGGTCCACCTAAAGCATCCCGTAAATGCTTCAATCAATATGTATGGGGCTGTCTGGGAATTCAGGGACACAGAGCTCCTTTTCTAATTTTCTGCCATAAGTAAAGAGCTACGTTTGGGGTAGGCCCCACGCACTAGTAGACGTATACTAGGAAGATATAGGGACCCTAATATGATTTTGCCTTATGTCTTGTGGTCACTATTTCTGGGTGGGGGCCCAACCTAATTATGCTACTTGTACGTGAGCATTGTGCTCGGCAAGCCTGGCCCCCAATGCTGGCTTGCATATCTAAATTACCCAGCCCAACGGTAGTTTCCTGAAATAGGGGATCCAACATAGACACCAAAACACATTATAATCATTATTATGGGGACCCCCCAAAATGGTACTCCTAATGTTGGGATGTTGGGAAACCCCCAAATCTCACTGCTAGAACAAGCATTGTCGTAAAAACCCAGCAGGGCCCCAGGAATACGCTCTCATCAGCAGCACTAGCCTTATTCTAAGCCTTTTCGCCTTGCAGATGGCAATAGGAGATGGGGGGGTTCCAGAAGAGGGGCTCCACGAAGCCTCTACATTACGGTTCTAATCCTAGGACTGCTATTATGGGACAGCCAGAAAGGGGCCCCTAGTTCTTGGAAACCTTACGTTGCTTCTGACTGCTTCTGAGTGCAGAAGCACGAGTTCGGGAAAGAGATCTTTGATTTTTGGAAACCCCACACCCTACGTATAACCTATAAGATGTATTTCCTAGTTGAGGCCCCATCTTTGTTCAACATTCAGCAGCAAGCATTCTACGCAGCATAGCAGTAAAGGCTTCTGGTAGAGGTGTTGACAACATGTAGAGAAATGCACGGATGCGAATTCATATTAAAGTTTAGGGTTTGGGCTTCGGGGAGCCTAAGCCATGACCAATCATCGCGACAGTACTATACCCAAGGTCCTAACCATGGGCCCTTAGAGTCTACAATAGGTGTATAAGGAAGGGACCCTAGGAATAAGGGCCCACACCAGGGGCCGCTAGTTCCAGCCCTGAACTATGGAAAAAGGTGGCGGCATCGTGCGGGATGTCATCGCCAGGCCTGCCAGGGAGGTTCCTGGAACAGGCCTTGGGTGTGGAGCTCTGCTGGGGCTTAGTAGGGAATAAGGGAATATATTATGTTGGCATTATTATATAGGGATTTTGTAGAGATGAGGTAGGGTTTATTACAATGATTATGTTCCCTAATTCGCTACTAGCCATCAGTAAGCTTGGAGTTGAAGTCAGGCTGCAACAGATGCTTTCAGGTTTGTCATTTCTGGACGCCGTGGGGGATTTCAAGTCTGCATTGCGAAAAGGTTTAGGTTTAGGGTTTAGGGCCGAGCTGGAAAACTCCCTGGCAGCTTCTATCAAAATACACATTTCAAAACCTGCCAGCAGCTTCTATATGAAACTTGATTCATAAATGCGTCCCCCAAACCTCCCAAAACCCCAAGCCCTTTCAAACCCCAAGAAGGGATCTCACCCTACAGTAGGAGCCTTACCTGCAGGTGCTTGCTGGGCTCAAGTGCTGGCGCTGCCCTGGCCTGAGAATAGTATTTCATGGATGCTAAACCCTAGACCCTTAACCCCTCAACCCCTAAACCCATAAACCCTAAACCCTTACACCCTAAACCCTAGACCCTTAAACCCTAAACCCTTAAACCCCAAACCCTTAATCCCTAAACCCCTACACCCTTAAACCCTGAACGCTAAACCTAAGCTACAGTACAAGCCAGGAAGTTGGAGAGTCAGTGTCCCTCTCCAATTTTCATTGTTATGACTACTTCTACGATTGTTACTACTATTAGGGTTATATGGGGATACTGGAGAAGAAAATGGAAACTACTGTAGTATGTTGGGATTATATATGAATATTTTCAAAGAAAATGGACGCTACTATTTAGGGTTAAAGGTTTGCCTCTACTCTACTGCTAGTTTTGCGGTTTTAGGGCGCTTAGTTGGTTATTCGGCGATTCCGAAAGCTTGTCTATGTGCATCTGGAGACTTGGCACGGCTGCAACTTTCCTCGTCGGGTATGGGAGGCTTTGCACAAACCTCCTGAACGTGCATCCTAAAACCTGAGCTTCCGAAAACATTAAAACTAGACACCCCAAAGCCCAGAACCCAAAATCCTAAACTCTAAACCCCACAATGGTAGACACAACCAATGTAAACCCCGAAAGCCTAAACCCTAAACCCCAGCAACTGGGACTTGCAGTTCAGTCTCAGTCCTATCCTTCACACACCTCCCTAAACGTAAACCTTAAAGCCAAAATCCTTGAGTTTCCATTATCCCTACATAATCCCAATCTATACCCTATAATCCCTATATAATCCCTATATAATCCCTATAATGCCTATAGTTTCCATTTTCTTTTCCATTATCCCTACATCACCCGTCCTGAGGTAGGCACCCCCATACCAGCCTCTGGGTTGCTATGAGGGAATATAGCATAGGATTAGGGTTTGGGGTTTGGTGTTTAGGGTTTGGGGTCGGGTGTAAAGGGTTTGGGGTCTGGTGTTTAGGGTTTGGGGTTTAGGGTTTAGAGTTTAGGGTTGCTATCAGGGAATAGAACATAGGATACTATCATGATTACTACTATTATTACTATTAAGGTTATATAAGTTATATAGGGATGGTGGAAAAGAACATGGAAACTACTATTTAGGGTTTAGAGTTTAGGGTTTTGGGGGTTTGGGGGTTTTCGGGTCTAGGGTTGAGAGCATAACTAAGGACACCAGCATGTTAAAGTCTTACAAAAGTATCGTTGCTGCTAAGGAAGCCTCACCAAGTTCCCATAAGTGGGAAGCCCCTGTTCATTCAGGTGAAGATATCTTAGTTCTTAGCTCATCTTCCCTGCCCCTAGACCCCTAAACCCCTGACCCCTGAACCCTAAA